GAAAAGAGTGCATGACTTGCCACATCCAATCCTGGCTCTCCAATGTCCCAAAGCGGGGCCTGCACCGTCTGTTGGGAGCCACCGGGTGCCTTCGGCAGCACCTGGGTGGTGGGTGTGGGGGCAGGCCCTGGCATCAGCAGACCCTGGGCTTGGGCGTCTGCCACCCGCTTGCTTGCAAGCCCTCTGTCTCTGGTGGTCCTGGCGACCTGGGCTGCCCATCACCAGCAGAGTATTTATTTATTTATTTTATTCAATTTATACCCCGCCCTCCCTACCAAGGCAGGTTCAGGTGGGGCTGGTGTCATGATCTGGGCTGTGCCACCAGAGGCCTAGGAGGCCCAGGGAGCCTGGCTAGCAGTAGGGGAGGCTGGGCCTACAAACCCCAGAAGGCCTTGGGAAGTTTTGGTGTCGATTTTGACCAATAGGGAAGAAGAGGGCTGGGGAATATAAGAACTGGTGCAAGAGGAGAAGCTGTTCTTCTCCCAGGGAACAGGGCCGGAACAGAGGCTGCTGTGGATGGGCGCAGTGGCAGTGCTGCTGGCTGAGGCCTGAAATGGCCTGGGAGCTGTGCTTTGCCTCGTTGGGTCCTCCCCAAAGGGCAGCTCTGTCTTTGAAACCCTTCCCCCTTGTGGTTCCTGTCCAAATCGTGTGTCCCCCCCCCCAATGCCCGCTGCTCGAAGAAGAAAAGCCACTGCTGGGAATGTTCACAGAAACGTCCTCATCTTTTGACTTGGAGCCCCTCTGGGTTCCTGTCAAGAGCACTGTAGGAGCGAAGTCCTCACAGGATTGAGCGGTGTCCCAAAAACACTTTCCTCTTTGCCACAGGTGATGTTTGAGGACGTGGCCGTCTACTTCTCAGTGGCGGAGTGGGCCAACCTGGCGGAATGGCAGCGGGACCTGTATCGGGCCGTGATGGTGGAGAACTACGAGGCCGTTGCCTCTCTGGGTAAGGATCTCTTTTGCTGCCCCTTGGAGGCCTGTCTGGCTTGGAGGGTCTGGCCCCGGCGGTGTCTGTGTGGGTGAAAAGCCCAGAGAGCTTCCTGCGGTGCCGTAGCTGGCGGCGATGCTCCCTCTAAGCTGTAGAGCCTTGTGAGCAAAAACTCTACCTTGTGAGCTCCTGGCATTAAAGTTGTGAGTAGAGATGTAAAATTTCCGGAAATCTTGAAGCTCAGAAAAAACCCCGGATTTTTTCCGTTTTTTTTTCCGGGAAAAAACGGAAATTTTCGGAAAAATTGAAAAAAATGCTACATTAGCATTTCTTTTGTCTTTTCTAGATTGAAAGTCATTCTGTTACTTTAGGAACATAAAATATGACTATGGACATTTTTACTTGGCATGAAATTATCACAACTAGCATATTAAAGATACAGCGTACCCAAACAATTATTACAAACAGAATACCCACCTACATGCAAAAACAAAACTGAAACCTTTTTCTTTTCTTGTGACAACAGCACCTCCTAAAGGAAGAAATGCATCTTGTTCTTGCATTGGAGAGTTCCGTTTGCAACCTAGGACTTGCTTGTCCTCACTGCACAGAAATTAGATCAATCTGATACCATATACATATATTTTAGAAATGATTTGGAAAATATTTGAACACCTTGTCTTAAAATATTTTATTCATCATGTTAAAATAAAACGTTCCATAATGATTTTTTTTCCTTTCCTTTTCTTTTTTTCAATTTTTTCCCCGAATTTTCCGTTTTTGTTCCGGGCCTTCACATCTCTAGTCAAGGAAGCCCCCAGTTTCCAAGACCTGAGCCAGGCTGTTGATGATAGAATGTTTTGGAGGTCATGCATTCATTGGGTCACCAAAAGTCGGAAGCGAACTCTTGGGGGAGGGAACTTTCATGAGTCACTGCCCGCTTCTTCAGATAGCTGAAGAAGTGAGCAGTGACTGCACGAAGAAAGCTCCTCCCCCGCCCACAAATTCTGTTAGTCTTCAAGGTGCTCCTGGACGCTGGCTCTTTTCTACTGCTACAGACAGACTGCCACGGCCGCCCATCTTGATCTTTTAACATCTGTAGTGATGGAATCCCTGGTTAAGACCGTGGGTGGGGGGTGGGGGTAAACACAGTCTTGAACTTCTTGATGAATCCTGACTCAGACAGACAGACGGACAGACAACCTTTATTGGCATGTAAGAGATAAGATAACATTAAAATTTAAGAATACATCAAAGGTATGGAGGAACTGTGGTGGCTCAAGGGGTTAAGACGCTGAACTGCAGGCTGTGGAAGGTCGGTAGTTCAGCAGTTCGAGACCCGAGTGTGCTGCATGACGGAGTGAGCTCCCGTCTCTGGTTCCAGCTCCTGCCAACCTAGCAGTTCGAAAGCAAGAAATTGCAAGTAGATAAATAGGTACCACTTCGGTGGGAAGGGAACAGCGTTCCGTGCACCTTGGTGTTTAGTCATGCCGGCCAAATGACCGCGGAAACGTCTTCGGACAGCGCTGGCTCTTCGGCTTTGAGACGGAGATGAGCACCGCAACCCTAGAGTCGGACTCGACTGGCTTTCGGGCAAGGGAACCTTTACCTTTACCTTTTTTACAAAAGGTATGGCTATCGAACAGCCAACAAAAAAGAACTGATCAATTAATAGTTTCCCTGCTTCGAATTACAGATTGAAGAAAACAAGCAACATTAAAAGTTATAGAAGCGTTTTGCCCAGAGAGTAGCCACTGGACCTTGACACTCTCAGGAAGACCACGCCATGTAAAAAGAAGGGTGGCCAGAAATTTCCCTCGGATCCTAGTATAAAATGGACAATTTAAAAAAACATGGGAAACGGATTCGATGGCACCCTGACCGCAGGGGCATTGACTAAGTTCATAGGGGATTTTTTGGCATCTTCCAGAGAAGATTTCCGATGGCAATACGTTAAATCTGGCTAACATAAATGCCCTTCTTTGATGGTGATCCGTTAGAGAACAAAAATAAGTAGCTGTCTGGACCAGTGTCTGGGATAACCCCAGATGAACAGGGGAACAGGTTTTCCTGGCTGCCTCAGTCAGGCGCTGAAATTGAATATCTAGAAGCCTGCGTTTATTGTGGAGGCAGGTGATAAGTAAAGTGGATCTAGATGTATTCCTAAGGACCTAATTTTTTTGGGGGGGGACTAATTTCAGCCCATTAGATTCATAATGATCTGTCAGCAATGCATTAAAAAGGTAAAGGAATTCGGGTCAGGATGAAACAGAAGGCGCAGCCAGAATCCTGACTCAACACTTTCACACTGAATTCTCCCACGGAAGTTCTTTGGAGGAGAATGGCGGCCTTTAGACCAGTTACAGAATGCCCTGGAAGATTGAAATCCCCCCTCTGCTGTCCGATCGATGTCACTGTATCGCTTTCTGTTTTTGCTGCAGGGTACCTTACCGTCAAACCCGAAATCATCTGTAAGATAGAGCGAGAAGAAGACCTCTGCGTAGAAGAGCCCCTGGAATCCCCCAGGTGGAGGCGACCCCAGAGCCCCTGGCTGGGTGAGTAGACCGGGGGGGTGGGGAGGGGGGTGGGCATCTAGGCCAGGGCTGGGGAAAGCCGTCCCGAGAGTCTAGCTGGTTTCCTTCGGGCGCTTATCATTTGCCCTCCCCGTTTGTTTTTTTGGAAAAGAGGCGTGCCGCCTCGGCCCATTTCTAAATGCAGACGGGCCACCTTTCCAAACAACTGTCGATAGAGCCGGCAGAGAGCGGCAAGGAATGGATGGGCAGGAACCCGGTGCCACTGCCGGAATATTTTTAGCAATCGACAGTCCCAAACCAAAAAGGGGCTTTTACTCCGGCAAGACTGAACGTTCTTCCCTCGGCAGTTCCGGAGGGCAGGTATACTAAAAGCATCGTGCTCTAATAGAACATGAAGATGCTCATATCGTGCAATCGAAACCACTGAACATATGAATATGGAGTGCCCTACAGTCGATGAGTTGAGGGATAATTCAGTCACCCCTTTACTTAAAAGATATGGAACTGCTAAATGTGCGAACCCAGGTGCCGTGGCTACTATCGGATACCAATGATCGTGGCAAAATTCATAGGCGCAATAATCAGATATGAGAGAAATAATACACTGAGCAGAAGAGGAGACGAGATTGGATTTATACTCCGCCCTTCACTGCCCAAAGGAGTCTCAGAACGGCTTACAAACTCCTTTCCCTTCCCTTCCCCACAACAGACACCCTGGGAGGTAGGTGGGGCTGAGAGAGCTCTGACAGAAACTGGTCTTTTTCAAGAACAGCTGTACTAGAACTGCGTCTTGTGCAAGGTCATCCAGCCGCTGCAAGTGGAGGAGGAGTGGGGAATCAAACCTGGTTCTCCCAGATTAGAGTACGCACCCCTAACCCCACACCAAACTGGCTCTCTAGTGTACAGAGAAGAAAGAGATTGGATTTATACCCCGCCCTTCACTCGGAGTCTCAGAGCAGCTTACAAACTCCTTTCCCTTCCCCTCCCCACAACAGACACCCTGTGAGGTCGGTGGGGCCGAAAGAGCTCTTGACAGAAACGGCTCTTTTTCAAGAACAGCTCTGACAGAACTATGGCTTGCCCAAGGTCATCCAGCAGGTGCAAGTGAAGGAGGAATGGGGAATCAAACCCGGTTCTCCCAGATTAGAGTCCGCGCACTCAACCGCTACACCAAACTGTCTTTTAAAATATTTTCTTTGGTTCTAATGTCTGCTTAAGGTGATGGCCGTATGAGCAGTACTAGATAGATTAGATAGATTGGCAGCAAGTGGCAGTTTCTCCGTTGGAACAGGGAGTGGGCGACCAGAGGGCGGTCCTAAAGAGAGTGAGTTGCACCTCAGTCAGGGGCCTTCGAAGGGCAGAACTCTGCTTCGGAGCGCACCTCGGATCAGCATCCTCAGAGCAGGGAATCGTGTTGTCATCCTGCAGCCAATGACAGGGCTTCTTCCCCCTTGGCAGGCTCGGGGGCTGGTGCAGCGATGCCAGGAGAGAGGGGCAGAGTCGAAGTGCCACCCAGAGAAGCCCATGCTCAGAAACGGCCTGATGCTAAGGTGGTCCATCACGGCTCTAGTGGTTAAGTGCGCGGACTCTAATCTGGGAGAACCGGGTTTGATTCCCCACTCCTTCTCCACTTGCAGCTGCTGGGTGACCTTGGGCCAGTCACAAGTTCTCTCAGAGCTGTTCTCTCAAGGGCCGTTCTGGAAAGATCTCTCTCAACCCCTCCTGCCTCACAGGCTGTCTGTTGTGGGGAGGGGGAGGAAAAGGAGTTTGTCAGCCACTCTGAGACTCCCCAAGTGAAGGGCGGAGGGTAACTTTTTAAAGTAAGAAATTCATTTTTTTTAAAAAAGGACAAGGTCCTTTGGCCCTTAGAGAAGGCTCCTGCACAGTGTCTTTCCAGATCAGCTCACAGATCTTCTGAGAAGAATGTCAAGAAAACGAGTTCAGCAGAACACTGTAGTGGTGATCAGCCGCTTCCGGTGTGTTACAGCTTTTTAATTGCTCGTTTTCACAAAGATCCCCGTGTGGCTGGCCAACCGTCCTCCCAGTTTACTGGCAAGGAGCTGAGGCTGGCAGCTCTATGGCCCTGGGAGAACTCGAACCCAGAGCTCTCAGGCTGAGGTCTACCATCAGATGATTTTGGCAAAGGGGCAGTGCCAGGGCAATGGAGCTTCATTGTTGACAGCAGGCATCTTTCCCTTTCTTCCCAGCAGGAGATGAGATTCGGATGGCAGACGAGGAAGAAGGCGAAGGGGCGGGTGTCGTCTTACGAATTCCAGCCCGGCGCAAGAGGAGGAAGAAGAAGCAGCAGCACTCGATGGGGACGGAGAAGCCGGTGACCCGGGCGACCAGCGCCCCTGCCAAGACGGAGGCCGAGTCCCTGCCCCGGGTGACGCTGAAGATGAACCCGCCCAAGTGCCCGGAGTGCGGCAAGAGCTTCCTGAGCAACGTGGCCATGACCATCCACATCCGGAAGCACACGGGGGAGCGCCCCTTCAAGTGCCACCTGTGCCCCAAGGCCTTCCCCTCCCGGGGGGACCTGAAGCGCCACATCAAGACCCACCTGTGCCGGAAGGAGCCCCCCGGCGCCAGCTCCGCCCCCAAGGGGAAGAAGTGCCTCGCGGCCAAGCTCCAGCTCCTGCGCCAGTTGGGGGTCACCCCGGGGCCCCGGAAGCCCCACAACTGCCCCCAGTGCGGGAAGAGCTTCCACAAGAGCCAGGACCTGCGCAAGCACGAGGGGACGCACTCGGCCGAGCGGCCCTTCCCCTGCCCCGAGTGCGGGCGCCGCTTCCGGCTCAGGCAGATCCTGGTGGCCCACATGAAGGTCCACGTCGGGGAGAGGCCCTTCGCCTGCGCTCAGTGCGGGAAGCGCTTCCGGCAGAAGCACCACGTCGAGAGCCACCAGCGGGTCCACACCGGCGAGAAGCCCTTTGCGTGCACCACCTGCGGCAAGCGCTACGCCCAGAAGCAGCCCCTCATCAGCCACCTGCGGGTCCACACGGGCGAGCGGCCCTACGCGTGCACCGAGTGCGGGAAGTCCTTCCGGAACCAGGCCACGCTGACCATCCACTACCGCATGCACACCGGGGAGCGGCCCTACCGCTGCCTGCTCTGCGGGAAGACCTGTAGCCAGCTGCAGCACCTGAAGAGCCACCAGCGCGTCCACCGCGGGGAGCAGCACCTCCTGGCGGCCGGGGACACCAAGGCCCTGGCGCAGAAAAGGGCCCGGGAGATGGCGGAGAAGCCCTTCCCCTGCCCCACCTGCGAGAAGCGCTTCCGGGACGAAAAGATCATGCAGGTCCACTTGAGAACCCACGAGGACAAGAGGCCGCCGAAATCGGGATCCTCGCCAGCTGGTGCAATCTCGGGCCAAAACACCCTTCCTTCTGTCCTGGCGAGAACGGCCCGGCCCGAGGGCAAATCTGTTAGCGGAGGGACAGGTGCAAGCAAGAGGCGTTCTGCCGCGACGCATCCGGGTGCCGTCGCTGGGAGGAGGTCCTTTGCGTGCGGCGACTGCGGCCGGAAGTTCACGCAGGCAAAATATCTCACCCTGCACCGGAGGAGCCACACCTGAGAAGACACACCTGAGAAGACACACCTTGCTTACCTGGGCAGTGGGAACCTCATGCATGGCTTTGGAGAGGGGCCCGGCAAGCCAGCCCCTTTGGGGTGGAGGGACTGGGTTGGGGACCCTTTTCACGTAACAGAAAGCTTCCTTAGAAAAGAGGCTTCGAGCCAGACCTCGTAGGTAGGTAGATAGATAGACTGACATCTGTCACAAGAGCACCTCTCATCCCCCTTCTCTCTCTCTCCTCCTCCTTTTTTAAATGTCCACGTGGCAAAAGGGGCCTGCTCTGGCCTGCAAGGTTTCCCCAGCACCTGGAGAGGCTTTTCTTTCTCTCTCGCCGCCACCACCTCACCTTTGTAAGGAATTGCCTGCTGGGAGGGTCAGGACTCCCCGCTTCCCTTCCAAGACCTGAGGCCTTGCCCCTGTGTCTCCCTCTGCCCGGCTCCTGGTCACCATGGGGACAGTCTACGGCCTTGTGTGCCCCTGGAGGAATGGCGGCCTCCCCCAGACCTCAGTTTGGAGTTCTGCCTGCTCTGATGGACTCTGCACCCAAAGAGAACTTTCTGCTTGCTCCTCGAGTTTTATCACCTCTCTTTTTCCCCACCCACTGACGCCAGGTCAGGGCAACTCAGTGAAGCTTTTCCTGAAGTCTCTAGAATCTTCCTTCCCGAAGCCTAACCTCCAAATCTCTGTGCCCTTCCCAAAGCCTAACCTCCAAATCTCTGTGCCCTTTCTGAAGCTTAAACTCCAAATCTCTGTTCCCTGCTTGAATGACGATCCCATTGTCTAGACCTATTAGCATTTGTATCAAGGTGGGCTGAGGTAAGTCTGGAAAGCAACTGAACTGACTTCCTCCGTTCCTGCCTGTTCTCTGCCCAGAGGGGGGGAACAACTTTTAAAACTCAAGAAGGTTTTGCTCATTCCAAACCTCCAAAGGAAAAATGCTTTTCTTCACCGTCCACCTTGAGGAAGATCCCTGTGTCACTTGAAAGCTTGCATTCTGCATCGTTTTGCTCTACAGAAGGGTCTTGTTTGGCTGAGGCTGGTGTTTCTTATTCTGTGGGTCCAAACTCTGCTGAACTCTGAATCTGGCGGGAAGCTTCCCCCCGAGGGCGTGCACACGCTCCACGCAGCCGTCCTTGAACTGCCGCTTGCAAAGGCAACCCGGCAGATGCCCTCTTGCCAAACGCTGCCCCGTTCCTGGAGCCTCTCAGCTCTGCTGTACCAGGGACCGCGTACTGCAAACAGCCTGCAGGGTGGAGCCCCTGCCCGAGGGTCTGGCGATGGCCCCAAGCAGAGGTGGCATCCCGGGAGAATCGCACTCAGCTTGGCAAGCTGGAGCTGCTAGGTGCCATCGCTCAGTTCCCGGGACCACTGTGCCTGGAGGCAGGTGCCAGAACAAGAGAGGCCCATAGGCTGTGGGGCCTCCTCGGGAGTTTTCCAAGCGCATCTGGAGAATCGCCACAAGCAGCAGAGTGCTCAGTTCGGTGGTCCTGTGGCCAGGAGAGGCCATTCCTTTTGTTCTTCGTAGGTAGAAGAGGCTGTAGAGTTGTTGCCAACTGCCCCGAGAGACGTGCACGTAGCCCGTTAGCGTTTTCACCGCTGCTCGGCAGGAGGTGCTTTTGCGTGCTTGCCAGGAGAGGAAGGTTCCTTCATTTGGAGCTCCAGACCCCCAGAGGTGGGAGGCGGCACTGCTTTTTGCTGGGGGGTGAGCCCGTGCTCGAGGTGACGGTTGGCTCCGTCATCTAAAGAACCGAGCTCTTTGCAGGATCTCTGAATAGAAATTGGCCCCAGTTTGCAAACAGCCACGGTGCATCGCAGCCTCCTGGAGAGGAGGGAGGGGGGAACATACATGTGTGTGAACACAATAGTAGTCTTTGTGGCTCTTGTGGACATTTAACATACAGGGATCGACTAGCTGCTCTTAATCCACTGGGACGCTCTCTCTCACACACACACATTTCACACAAACTAAGTAGCAAAGGGGTGACGAAACGAATCCCTCTTCCGAAGTGCACTTAAAGGGCTGGGGCTGCTTCCAGTTGACAAAACTGAGGGTAAAAAGGCTTAATAAGCATAGTTGGCGATAGTGAGGCGAAAATATCCCTGTAAGTGTACATTGCAGATGATTCTTGCCGCTGTTGTGTTGACTTGTAACTGCCCCAGTTGTGTGAACAGAGTCACAGTAAACCGAGGCACGGCAGCTTTCACACAACAAGGAGAGCCAGTTTGGTGTAGTAGTTAAGTGCGCGGACTCTAATGTGGGAGAACCGGGTTTGATTCCCCACTCGTCCACTTGCACCTGCTGGATGACCTTGGGCAAGCCGTAGTTCTGACAAGAGCTGTCCTTGAAAGGGCAGTTCTTGAAAGAGCTCTCTCAGCCTCACCTACCTCACAGGGAGTCTGTCTGTTGTGGGGAGGGGAAGGGGAAGGAGTTTGGAAGCCGCTCTAAGACACCTTTGGGTAGTGAAGGGTGGTGTAGAAATCCAAACTCCTCTTCTTCTTTTCTGCACTGCTTTTGTCACTACTGTGACTGCAGAGGTGTGCGGGCTGGTGACAGAGCTTCTGCCCATGGTAGTTTTTTGCTCATTTTCTTCTGCTCCACTGCAACTTTGCATCGACTTTCGGGGTCATAGTCACTGCGGCTGCCGTGGCAACTCCCCCCCCCCTTTGTTCTTCACACGTGCTCAATAGCGCTGTAATGCTTTCAGTAATTCGAAATAAGTGGCAATAGTTCACTGTAGTGCTTATAGCACCATGTTGACATACAGATAGCATTCCTCCAGCCATCTTGCAGCTTCCCTTCCACATTTCTTTTCAGGCAGTTTGGACAAAAGCTGCCCGCACCTTTCCCTTTATATCTCCACAAGAAAAGGAGCTGAAGACTTAATGAGAAAAAAACCCAAAAGAATTCAGAGGAACTGTTTGAAATGTCAGTAGAAAAGTGGTGCCAGATCATTATAGTGCCATAGCACAATCGCAGTGGCCAGCTTTTGTTTCAAAGGCCACAGAAAACCCTCTGGCGGCATATCAGGGGAAAAGGTGCCCGTCACAGTCATGACTGTGGGGAAATCTCACAGCAGGAAAATGTACACCGCTCCTTTCCTGACAGTGTGCTACTGTGGCTAGACTGCATTCTTTCCGAAAAGGATGGGAATGAAACAGATTTGGAAAGAGCTTACTGAGGACAAGGCGTACCTGGAACGAGGGTGATTAGAGCACAGCACTGTGCAGACGCTCTCCCCGCCCCAAAAGCGCTCCAGCTTGGAAGCCGAGGTGGGGAACCAACTTGCTATGAGACAGCCGAAGTCATCTGGAGGACGGGTTCTTGTTATTAGCGTTCAAGAGACCTGGGGCTATTCCGGATGAGTCGATATCCATAATTATAAAAACCCTGCTCTGTTGTCCTTTTACAATCCTTGAACGAGGTTTTGCCAGGCTCTGTCAAGTGGGTGGTGCTGTTGCGGGGCGGCGGCCATTTTTCTGTTTTTTCCACGGTACCCCACAGCTCACCCCCCCCAACCCTTTGACTTTCCTCTAGGAATATCGCCCCCGCCCAGGTAGG